GCTACGCGCGACCAATGAAGAACAGCCATTCTTGCTAAAGGGAGACGGGCATACGACTTTGAGGCTCTTATAAATGGTCGTAGGACAGGGGAGACGCGACTAATTGCTTTCGCATTTAGTTTGAAACTTCTATGGCTCTCGAAATAGGAGAACAGTAATTTAGTGAACGCAAAATCAGTGAAAGGAATCCCTTGAGGCAACAGAAGTTTGATGTAAAAGTTTTCCACAAAAGTCACCTAATCCAACTATTGTCGCCGTTTCCTTCTTTTTTTGCGTGGTGGAACACGCCACAATATTCACCATAAGATGATCGTCGTTATGGGACCAATTGTTTGAAACAAAGACTTCAGAGAATTTCAAAATTTAATTCAAGTGATAAGCAAGAAACCAAGAATGAGCTTTTGAGACCCACCATCGTAACAATTTTCCAAGCCACAGTATAACTTCCTCAGCAAAACCGACAGAGAGAACAGGTTCACAAAGGTAAAGGAACTACTATGAGATGGATCCATCCGAAAGACGAAGACGGCCTCATCCAAGCTTGAGTTGATCTGAAAATAACCACCATGTCCACCGTTGTAGTAAACTTGACGGTTGAGAAGGCATAGCTGCCTTCCGAAATCGCAAACCAGCAGACATGAACGATCAAAAACAGTTTCCTTCAAACTTCCAAAACGAACGCCCCATTTCCTTTAGAATTTCCTCGAATCATGCTCCTTTTGAGAAAATTGAGATAGCAAGGAATGCAGGTAGCATACCGAGTTACTCATTGTCACCGCCGAAAATATAAAAAAAAGTCTGCCCAAGTTCCAAAAAAGAGGCAGCCAAATGTAAGGCAGATGTAATAAATCGCTCAAGTGATTATTAAAATTTCATCGCCTTCTAACGGACCACACTAATGAAAGAATTAGACGTGGAGGAACATTTCGAGAATAAATGTGGAAATTTCAGAAGGCACAACTTAGGTACACATTCTGAAGCTTTATGACTACATGCAGAATCGCCCAAGAAGCATCAAAAACCGAAATCTGAAGAGAAAGTTGAGGCGCTTTCACTGAATAAGAACCACTGCGCCAAAATAGACAGGAACAGCTTAGAATGGCGCTATTCCGGGAGTGAAGCGAGAAGAGTAGTTAAAATGCATCGGCAGCCATAATGTATGAATACCCGGAAGCAGCACTTTGCGATCGAGACGCCACGTCCCCGACGGAGGAATCTTCGTTTCCTTTTCAATACGATTTCGGGACAAGAGAGATTGGAAAACGTGGGACAAAGGAGTGCACAAAATATCGAATCTACGCAGCAAATCCTGAAATAAAACTAAGGAAAGCTAATGTATATGTAGTTGTTTATTGTTTATATGTTTGAAACGTTGTATAGAGGCAAAACGTAAGGAATATAAAATACATCGAGGATAAAATAAATCATAAAGAAAAATACAAATAAAATATGTAACACGTATTAGACGCTTCCTCAGCTCTCGGCCATGTAAAAATAAGATGGTGTTTTTTTCTGTGCCGAAAAGACCTGTTATGGTGCAACTGCTCTATTGGACAGCGTTAACCATTGACCAATAAGGAGTAAATGTTAACTGCTGACCAATGAAAGAACCAGCAAACCTTTATGGCACAGAAAAAATACACAATTTCGTCATGTTAAGACCCACTATATACAGACAGAGTAATTAAAGGCAGAACTGTCCTTATGCTCACTTCTCATGAAAAAAAAAACCAGGAATGCGCACAATCTTATTCTTCTAAGTGCTACTATGCTCTGTTTGAACGACAATTCATTGACAAACTCATCCCGAACAGACAACCACACTCTCTTTATCTAGGCACAAAAAATGTCCAAACCACCAAAGTCAGAAATTCGATAGTATACTTTTTTTGTAAGATAAAGACCATGAATGGAGCGCTAATAGAATGCACCGTACATCGCAAAGTGTGTTTCAAAGGAGCAAGAATTGCTTTAACATTAATTCTAATTCTCATAATCTCACTCAAAGCATTTTTATTCACGCACCACAATTCGAAAATCATCCATGCGTTTCCCTCCAATCACACGCAAATTTCAACGAAAGTTTTGAGATAAAAAGCGGAGCATGGAACCAAGTTAGGTCGTCAATCAAGTGTAATGCTCTATCTGCGACGAACCCAAACGCAACGCTGAACGCGTCATATTGAAGACTGACGGTTGAGCTACGGTATCATTGGATTGACTGGGTTGCCGATCGGTCATTTTTGCTCGAGGGTGTCAGGTAATAGCCTCTTCTATCTAATGATATCATCTATAGACGGCTCATCGGGGATTACCTTCTCCTCAGAAAGAAGGGGCTGTGAACCAGAGAGATCGCTCTCATCGAGTTCGTGCCCAACAAGTCGCGAACTGGGCAAGGAAATGCTAGAAGGGATTGGAGGGATGGTGGACGGAAGGGGCGAAAGGACTTCTTGATTCTCGATCGCTTTTCACTGGTGCGCGTGGTGAGATTTTGGAAGGCTGGGTGGCTAAGGTGACTGTTGCGGTTGCGGCGGTTGATAATACTCCTGCATTATTATTCGGTGATTGTGGTTATGAAGGCATGTCCGAGGCCTAGGCCCGTTCACGGATCTTTGTCGAACCGACTGACTGGTAAAAGTGGGTAGGCCCAAGTGCTGATGTTGTGCTGTTTTTGTGGCTTGAAGGTGCGCAGAAAGGCGCTACAAGCCTACTCAACCTACATTGCACGTCTTTCCCACAACTTCTCCATCTGACGTTGTCGCGACGCTGGCGCTGGCATACGAATGCCTCTGCACTTCTGGAGGCGGCAGAGTTGTGGCCGCGCAGCTACCATGAGAATGCGCCGCGTAGCTCGTCCTAACGCGCACGCCTACCATCATCCCCACTCGTCCATGAATATGCATGTTCCTCCCTTCTTCCCACTCTTCCATCATAGCACAGTATGGTTGTGGGAGATAAAGGATAGAGGATGAAGCATTTGCCATTGATCGGTCCCTTTTTGTGGATTGCGGTGCTTCCATTCCATATGTACCCTCGCCTTCAAATGACCAGAAATTGTGCAATTGCAGAAATTGACGTGGCATTAACGTGGCATCGATTCAAGAACATCTTTGAGCACACGTGATGTCACCTTTTCATCGAGAATTTAGCCACGTGTGCCACGTGGCTTAATGCCACGTCAATTATGCTCAAAGATGTTCTTGAATCGATGCCACGTTGATGCCACGTCAATTTCTGCATTTGCACAATTTCTGGTTATTTGAAGGCGAGGTAGGTGAAGTGTAGTTGCCCCTTCTCCTAAAGCAGCACAGCAGAAGCTTCTTTCAAGAGCAGCTCTGGATCGGCTGCACGGATGGATTTTCTCCCTTCGGAAGCCAGAGCGTCTCTCCTTCGATTGCCGAATAGAACCCCCAGGTCTTATCCCCTTCAACTAAAAGCTTGTAGAAACGTCTACCCCGACACCAGGAGTGAAGAAGAAGCGGTTGACCGTCTGGGACACACGGTTGACGGAGGACGTCGGTGAGTTTGTGCGGAATCCATCAAGTAATAACTTTTGTAGCCGCATTCAGGGAGATGCTGAACCCCAGGTTTAAAGCTCTGCCAAGGTTTCTGGTTGTAGCCTCCGGCTTCTTCTTTGAGTCTGCTATGTAGACGGTCGCCATCGACAAAAGGTGAGATGTCGAGGAATGCCGACTCTAAAGCACCTGTATCAGGAGAATTTTTCGCACCGATATAGCTGTTCTCACTGTTGCTGAGATGGAGCCCTTGATTATATCACTCTGCATTGCTAAAATAACGCATGCAAGTTCGCTACAAATCCGGATTAAAAGACACCTTCTGCGATCATAATCTTCTGTTTATTTCTTACGAAATGATGTTAAGTTACGGAGAGGACCATCAGTGAATAAAAAGGAAAAAACCAAACCAGTCTAAATAGCTGCTTTCCTCCTAGGTCGTAGATACCTTCTAAAATTCATAGGACGCGTGTTACGTCCGCAAGAATGCATGGGTCGCGGAGGAGACTGTGGGCAGGTAGCGAACCAGTGGGAGAAGGCGCAGACAACCCAAGCGTTACGAGCGAGAAACAGCGGAATCGTCGCGTCGATGTAAGACCCCTGACGCCCTTACCGTGTACTTTGAGGTCGCCGAAGTGGATACAGCCTTTCCGTTTGCGGACCATGTTACCATCTTCACAGAAAAGGTGATTCTGATGAATTATTGGCGACGTGTGCCTTTAAGTCAACTATGCGATATTCGATGGTACATAGTAAATAAGAGTCTGGCCTGGGTAGAAGCGTTCTGTGTCTTATACTCGACACATTTAGTGTTTTTCCAAAGTTTACGTGAGCAAAATATTGTAATGATGTAATTTCCGACAATGCCGAAAATGCCGTGTGCCCGTAATAAGTGACTGTGATGTATTACTTGTTTGTTCCACCATCCCGAGTGTTGTTTGCCCACGTATAAAAGCGCTCGAAGATGTTACAACAGGTCTGGTACCCAACCCTTCCGGGCCAAAATAGGCAAATTTTCATCGCAGCCATGCTAAACAAGTCTTATTTCCTCGGAAAATTTCTCCTTTTTTCCTTCTTTCTTGATTACAAAGAATGTTGCCGCCTCAGTGGTTGCAGTTTTGTTTCATTGCTGCGGAGTTATTTTATTCGATTTTTTCTGTCCTTGAAAAAATGAAATGAGAAATTGTTTTCAGAGCTAGGCGATGCGAAGGATGGACGGAAGACGGGCTGCGTACGCGTCCATGGTGCTGTCCATCGGCGCCACGACGCTGACCCTCGTGCTGGTGGCGAGCCTTTCGACGAAACTCGGCGAAATCTCCGAAGAACTTGAACGCGACATGCAAGAATTTCGGGGCGTGGAAAAACAAGCAGCGTAAGTTGATGATAAAAACCCGATCCTAAATGTTCGCCGGACAAGGACATGCTTATGTGGACTGGATTTCGGAATTGTTTCCTATTAAACTACAGGAACTCCTGTCCACTTCAGACATCACGTCGGTCGACTCTCGTCAAGTCTTCATAGGCGACCTGGGCGCCAATCTACGGAGAGCTGTCGGTGCAACTATTACAACTCGTGCCCTTCTGGACCGCCAGGACAACCCGGTATGGCGGGAGAGCACGGCACTCCTGGTCTGCCGGGTGAACGTGGAGCACCGGGAGCTTCTTACCCCACAGTTCCCAGACCTTTGCCCCCAAAGTGCAGGTAATGATATCGCCTCGTATTATGTGTTCCAACCATGAATGAGTGCAAATTGCTTTAGAGCATGTCCAAATGGGCCACCTGGTCCTCGAGGTCCACCTGGCCAACCAGGTAAACCTGGTCTGCCTGGTCTTCCTGGTGCGAACATCTTCGCCGTGGCTCCATCGGGCCTGTCCGGTCCGCCAGGTAAGATTCTTCTTACGGTTGGAATCAAGGGTTGCATCGCATGGCAAAATTCGGGGGTCACCACACATGGCGCTCCCCCCCCCCCTCCCTGCCGAAGGACAATGTAAACATCTTGTTGAACTTAGCTAAGCTCTAAAGGTGCGCTGAGCGTGTGAGGAGGGAGGTGCAGCAAATTCTGCTGCGCTGCGGTGTTTTCCCACACTTTACTTTCCTTGTTCCTAGATGTGCACCTCAAGCCTCCCAACCTCGTAAACCACAACAAATATCAACAAATACTGCCAACCTATCAGAGCAAACACGCTCCCTTCCCCATCGAGGAATCCTCAACGATGGTTCAGTCTCTCTGTAACTGCTTTCCACTTACCTTCCAAATCCCAAACAGCCAAAAGGTCGGGCACCGGCAAATAGTCGAGCGCAGGTGGAATAAGTACTCCTCAGATTTCATGAATCCTCAAAATTGATTTATGCACCACTTTCGGAAATCACCAACAGAGCCCAACTGGTACAAATCCCACTGGAGCTGAGCGCTTCCCTCCAAGGGTATCAATTTCTTACCAGAATCATTTCAGGACCAGTCGGCGAGCCTGGTGCGCATGGGACTCCAGGAGAAACTGGCATACAGGGTAACCGTGGCAAAAACGGACTGAAAATCGATAAAGGACCTAGGGGGCTACCAGGACGACCTGGAGTTCTTGGAGAACGTGGTTACGCAGGTGAAGCTGGACGGCCAGGCAAGCAGCCACCACCAAAGCCCCCTGGACCCAGGGGACCTCAAGGTCCACCTGGAGAACGTGGTGCTCCGGGCAGAGCTGGATCTTATGGAAGATACGGTCAAAGGGGAGGAGATGCTAGTCACTACTGCAAAACACGGTGCTCGAGCGAGTGTTGTAATATTCGTAAGGGTAAAGTTCTACAGTATTGTATATGTGACAGAATAAAGAGTTATTTCTCGGTCTATTAATTGTCTCATCAGAATAGCCTATGTCGGTCGACTTTTTGACCGTGGTAAGCTCATAGGCTCTCTGGCTCATAGCCTTAGTCATAAGCCAGTGTTTAAGCATAAGCCTTAACCTAAGTCTAAACCCAAACTTAACCTTAAGCTTCAATGATCGCGCAACTGTGGTGACCTGACCCCAGGAGGAGAAACGCACGTCTCCCCTCTCGAAGAGCTACTCAGGGGGCTAACATAAGACAGATTGAGGCTAACATAAGACAGATTTCCTTAGCGCCGTCCACTAAGGTTTTTTGACAGCTACCACAGATTTTTCCAAGAAAAATATTGTCTGCTTCTCTTTAACTGGGAGCGAAGCGCTGCATAAATGCCAACAATACTTTGAAATATTTATTGTTTTCCAGAAAAGCACAATAATTTAAGAATGAATACAGCTAGTGGTTAGATATCAACAAAGGAGCACTGCATCTCTGAGGTGAACTTTAGGGTCATGTAACCCATTACTTGGATCTTCTAATTCTGGTTGATCGACGATCACTTAGTAGTGCTTGCCGCTTGAGTGCTGGCAGTGGTGCTAGAGGTTGTGGTGGTAGATTGGTCGGCTTGATGTGGTAAAACCTGCGTAGTGTGCTTCGCTGTGGTGGAGCGGATGTGGTCGTCAGTGGATGGGTAGAGTAGTGTGTTTTATTCCCTCTCGAGTTTCAACTCTTTCTTCAAGTACCTCGCCTCTGTCTGAACAGCATCGTACTTTGCTTGCAGCACCTCTTTCTTCGCCTAGACCTTCGTAGTTGGCGACGTAGCCTTCGCAGCCGCCTGCGCGCATTTTTAACTCGACGCTTTTCACGGTGGTGCAGAAGCTCGGCTGCTTCTCCCTGAAAGTATTAAAAGCTTGCTAGTTGTTTGCTCTAAAACTCGGGTTCAGGGGTCCAGTGGTTGCGAAATTGCCTTGTATGCGCAAGTTGCAGAATCATTTTCGACGAAAAACCCACACAATACCTGCATACAACACTTGCATACTATGAGCGTTGCCTGTGATTAGGTGTAGAAATATTTCTCATCCCGTTTGTTCCCACCCCCTACCCCTCCCCCTCAGTTACACGAGGCATCAGCAGTAAGGGTGGCCGAGAGTCTGGAATTTTTAGGCGTCGCTCATTGCTCAACGTTGCCTGGTCACCATCATAACTCTCGCCCTTGCCGGACTGTCATCAATTGAATTTAACCCTTTCGGCCCTGGCGGTGGCAATTGCCACCACCAAATTCAAACGCTTGCATTGCCGCTGAAACAGCATGGTTTTTCTAATCCTGCTAGAGGTTGCTTCAGTCAACCTTCCCCTTCCTAATTATGAGCTTAACCTGCCATTTCATTGTTTATTGCTGTTAGTATTGCAAGTATTTGTGTACAAGTGCAACAGTGAATGGGCGCTGACCCCCGCAACCGGCCAAGTAAGTGTGACTTTTTCTTAAAATACTTGAAGTGGATCCATTCCTAAATCAAAATTATGGGTTATAAATATTATGCAAGATTATAAACTTTTTCGGCACAACTATGAAACTTCGAATTGTTTCGACATAAGCTTAAAAACTAAGAAGGTGGGCCAATTTTCAAAGCTTCTTAGTTTCTTTGTTTGTGATCGAATAGCTTCCAAATTTCGCCATAATGATACCTATATGCTCACAAGTAATAAACAATAGCTAGAAGAAAAATTTCTCCACGGGGAAAAATTCAGGTCCGAAAGGGTTAAATAAAATGGAGCCTCGAAGTGAGCGAGAATAACAGTTGCTCCTACAGGAACATTCGCAGACTAGCGTCCGCGGTCGCGTTGCGGTATCAGCCAAGGCCGCGAAGCCACCGCCGGCGTCAGCGAATCGCTCGATTCGCAGTCTGACATCGGCCTGAGTACGAACTCCTCTTTCTGTGGTTTGCTATGGCCTGTTTGTCTGGCTTTCTGAGTTCAAAGGAGAAGGATTTTGCATGATTATCGGCGAGATTTCCCACTTTCTATTCATTTCTCGCCTCCAATGGAGAATCAGGAACTCCAGATTAATTTTAATTGCGATTTGCAAACACCCGGACACTCTCATCCATCTCGAACTTCATGTGGTTTCTGCAAGTGCCTCTGAATTCGTGACTGACATAGACGTAGTTCTCCAAAGGTTCAAGGTGTATTGTAGATATCACAATTTCTCAGAACCAAAGTGGCATAGTCGCTTAGAGTCTAGAGTATAAATGTAGAGCTTAAACGGCAGGACACGGTGGTGAGAGCCGTAGTGTTTTAAATGTTTCGTAGTAGGCGTAAAGGGCAGTGTTAGCCACTTCTTCCGGCGCACTGAGGGTTACTCTACCGGAATCAGCTTTAAGTGACGTCATCAAAACAGCACCGCCCTCCAGCCAGCGTGACCACTACCTTTAGAAGATAGAAAAAGTCAAGCCTAGGTCAATACAAATAATAAATCATATTAACACGTACATAACCTTCAATAAAATGCATTGCCTGAACAAAAATTCAAATCCCTCAAACCTTCTTCATGAAACTTTACTACCTTAGGCAAACCTTTTCAGTAGAATGGCGGCACCCGTGTTTATCAAATGACAAAAAATAAACCTTGTCTCCGCTCAATTCCGCTATCGGCAATTCCTTTTCGGCGATCGATGTGTCGGCGAAAGCCTAAAGAACCTCAATTTCTTACTCGGATACTTTCTTCAGAATGATGTGTTTACTCAAAATGGCTATTATTTGGGAGCTGAGAAAAAACTTCTTCCAGAAATGCTCGTACTCAAGAAACAAGCTTATGAATGCAAGGTCTATCGAAAGAACAGGATTCACATTTCTTGTCAGCGGTTTCCAGGAACCCGTGCAACAGATGGCAGTCATATGGTCCAGCCTTCCCGCCGCACGCGGCACGAATATGTCGCGTGCGAAGAGGAAGTGTCCCATTGTACCTTCCGTCTCTGGTGATCCAACAGAAACGCTGCTCACTCCCATACTTATTCGAGAGACCCATCGCGACTTACTCAGTACACTTGTATACGTACCCTTCGTCACGTAATTTTGTGAGAGCGGCATTATTGACACGCTCACAAAGTGAAAAGTGGACCCAATGACACACATTGACATGGTGCAACTGTTAGTTGTTCTTTGCTTGGCATGCTGCTTAGTAGGCATAAGGCCAGCCAGAAAACCTCATACTTACCTTACTTTTTGTTTCGATGGCGCTTACATCCTTTGTGTCGGAGGAGACCTTAACAAAGGAATTTTAAAGGAACTTCAAGCAGTTTTTATAAAGGCAGCTCTCAAGAGGAAGCATATCTGGGTACGGAGCGTGAATCAAATGCAGTGATAGAAGGACGTCGGTCTAGTCACTGCCCCAATCCACCTTTTGGTGCTCTTTCACCAATAATGTTTGATTGACAGCTCCACGTCCTCGCTGGCGTACCCACTCAAGTGTTTGAATTTCCTTGGTAGAAGTGAAGTTCCGTAATCAGAATCGCAATTTTTGCTTTTAGAAGCTCACCTTCTCAGTGTTTAGAGAAGCAGCCGTTACACAGAGGACCACGCCAAGTAATATTAAAATGATGATCCTCATTCTGAAATATAAAACTCTTGACTTAATACTCTTTCACAATGACGCGACTACTAACACGAAGAGAGTCGAGATTTCGTACGAATGAACGGGAAAATGAAGTCCATGAAGCCTAGGCCAGAGGCGCTGCTGCTACGCGCACACATGGATAAGTTCAGCAGATCGACTCAAATAGGCTTGAGTAGACCAAGGCTTAGATCGTGCTAGGTCAAGAGCGAGAGATGGTTGATTGCAGCTCCATGAAAATTACTATTTTGTTCCATTTTATATGCTCCCTTTAAATTTTTCAGGACACATCAGTACAGATAAAATTCCACGCTGTACAAGCAGCAAAATCGCTACCGCTACATTGGAAGCGATCTGGCTGCTGACGGTAGTGTGAATCGGGCGATGATGGCCCAGATCGACGCTGGATGAAATGGAGGGAGTCAACAGGAATCCTTTGCGGTCGAAGGTGCTCCAGAACGCTCAAATGGGAAGTTCACAGGGCAGTGATAAGACCTGCGATACTCCACTGCAGCGAGTGCTGGTCCTGAACGAAGAATCGCGGAAAGGCAGCTTCACTCTGCCGAAATGAGGATGATGAGGGGCCTGCGGCTGGACGCGGCTGGACAAGGTTAGAAACGAGGACGTCAGAGCGGTCATGCAGACTGCCCCTGTCCAGCTGAAGGTACGGGAACAGCGTCTGCGATGGTATGGGCATGTGCTAAGGAGGCCACAGGACCATCCGATAAGAACAGCGATGGACTTCGAAGTACAAGGCAAGCGACCGCGAGGAGCCCCGAAGAAAAGGTGGAAAGACGTAATCAAGAAGGACCTAGGTGAGGTCGCGGCCACGATGGAAGATGCCCTGGACAGAAGTAAGCGTAGCGACGGCTGTCAAAGGCAGCGGACCCTGCGACTGCGCGAGGCTAACGTTATGGAGAAGAAGAAGACGAAGATTAGTTTTCATAGGAGAGAGTGGGTTCTATGTTGTATTTAGACACAATTCATATATCACAGATACTTTGGGCGGTGGGACAGAATAATCTGCGCCACCGAACAATAGGCTCTTGATGGCGTTGTATTCAAGGACAGAATAAGAGTGGTTTTTCATCAGTAATGAGAGTAAGAGAAGTTATGAGTAGAGAAAAACTCGGCTCGTTATGTGTGGGGCCGGAATGGCGGCCAGAAGAGCCCAGGCGGAGGTGTTCGGACAGGGCACAAAAGTGGTTTTCTTGCGGGTTTGTTGTTCTTTAAAATAGCCTTGGGGGCCCGCTGTCAACCAAAGCGGTTTACGATTGTCGTCCAGTGGCGATTTCAATCTTCACTAAAAAAAGCACTTCTTTGAAAAGATCACGAAAACTTCTCAGATATCCAGTCCTATCGCCACGTTTTGTTCACTTCGCTTGTCGTTCGGATAGCTTCCAGAAACAAATTCACAAGTGCACATCGCGGTCGTTCGATCAAGTGGCTTTGTTCGTTTCCAAAAGTCGAATTCAAGTCCGCAGATCATCGAACTGATAGGCTTAGCCGATGAATTAATGATGTATATATTGCAACGTCCACTCCCTCATTGCTTCATCATTGTTATCTCGATGTGCGTGTGCGCCATTAGGTCCAAAGGCAGTCAAAAAGGATGCTGTAGTATCAAGTCATTTCGCCTGAGAGGAGACTCCTGCACTTCATTCTGAACTGACTGCTTTTCTACGTATTCACGTTCCGTACTAATGGGCCTTCGTACAGAATCTGTACCTTACTAGGAACCTGTATCTTAATAGGCCACAAATTTTACTCCTTGGTCGCCATCCAGCCTTCAAAAAGTCATCTATCACGGCCTCTCACAGCGTGAAAGAACGTGCAGAACTGTTTCGTATTTTACAAGGACTCATTTACAACACTTGAAACAGGCTCGAACACACAGTATTAGGGCCTTTCTGAACTCTTGACTCAGGTAAACTTAAACGATTCCCGGCGACTAATTTTGCCGATTACTAATACTGGATATTGTGAAGCTAACAGGCGCTATCGCAAGATCGAGGGCATCATTGTGGGCAACGCGTTCAAAACTACGTGAAACGTCTCAATTTCGGGCCGGGGGCGGGCTGGCAAATGGGCTAAGCACAGGCGGAGGAGCAGCGAGAATCGCACAGATCCTGAGAAGTTCCTTCTCCCTAGAAGGGCACTGCCCTCCTAATCCTAAGTTCTGGGAAATGCCCCGTATTACGGCATAGTATAACTTTACTTACTACTTTGATACTTTGATGATCCATCTTCATTGGCGGTTTTCGCAATGTGGACCACATTCGCTCCATGTCTTTCTGCAATGTGCAACGGTCATCCAGTGAGGTAAACCTCTTTGTTTGAACGATTTTGAAAAAACATCAGACCAGCGAGTAGCGGGACGCCCAGGTGTTCGTTTGGTATCTCGAGGATACCAGTACGTAATTCTGGTCGTCCACCTGTCATCCTGGCGACGTATCACGTGTCCTGCCCATTTATGTCTTGCGGCAGCTACATAGAAGGATGGGTCTCGAATTCTTGATTCTCTTCGGATGTCGTTACTGCTTAGTCGTTGCTGCCATTGCATCAGCTTTGTCTTTTTCACCAGCGATCTTTCCAAAGCCCGATGAACGGTTCTCAGCGATTTGTCAATACCTTTGTTCGTTGCCCATGTTTCAGTGGCGTAGCATAGAGCAGGGAGCACGGAAGCATCGAAAAGATTGGCACGTACTAGAGGGTCTTGAATCTCGTTCGTCACTTCTCGAATTCTTGCCATGGCTGCCCACGCTGCTCTTTTCCGGCGGTCAATTTCATATTGCAAATCATTTTGCATGTTAATCTCGCGACCGAGATAGATATATGATTTGACGTTTTCTACAGCTACGCCTTCAAGGTATACTTCACCATCGTCGCACCACTGATTCCTCATCGTCTGCGTTTTTCTCATGTTCATCGATAGTCCAATAGCTTTTCCAGCTTCACAGAGTTCGTTCAGAAGTGAATTCATCTCTCTGCTATTGTTGCTTATAAGGACTATGTCATCCGCGAAACGTAGGTTTGACAATTTCTTTCCGTCTACCGCCACGCCTTTGTTGTCCCAGTTCAATCCCACCATGACATGGTTAAGAGCTGTCGTAAACAATTTAGGGGAAATGGTGTCCCCTTGACGGACTCCTTTTTCGATTGGGATGCGTAGTTTCCTGTCAAACATCTGAATGATCGTCGATGTCCCACTATTACATTTCTCTAAGACATTGACGTAGGTCGGATCGACTCCTGCATGTTGTAAGGCGTTCAGCACGGCATTTATCTCGACCGAGTCAAAAGCCTTAGTATAGTCAACAAAAGTGAGAATCAACGGCATTTTATATTCTTTGCATCTCTCGATCAGCTGTACGATCGTATGGATATTGTCCAGGCAGCAGAAGCCTTTCCTGAAGCCAGCCTGCTCAGGGGGCTGGTAGGAGTCCAAAGTATCTTCTAGACGATGTAGTATTATACGAAGTTATTACGAGTATTAGGTTATACTTCTAGTATCACGCGATAGCGCCTAAAAATTATTATAATTCTGGTACCGGATTCTGGCCTGTCCATGACCGGCGCTACCAGTGTTTAGGCTGAACAGGATCCCAAATTGGTTTTTTTGTTGCCCTATTTTCAGGTCAGCAGGAATGAGAGGCTTGTCGATGTTGATTCCATTGAAATCGTCCACACGCTTCGGTGTACTGAATTGAAGGCTCACAACCACTCTGATATTTATTGCTTTCTAGCTATCTTTAGTGCTTTAGTTTTATTTATTTTTTTTGCGTGAAGACTAAAAATGGCAATCTACGGACCTTGGATCGAGCCCCGTCATGACAGATCAAACTTTCAGTAGCTTCGTTTGTTAAAACACGAGTCAGGATGGTAGGCAAACAGCAGGGAAGTTCTTCCATAGGATGGATGGTGGGCTCCCACTATACAGGGCGCGACACGAACCAGAAATGTGCGCGCGGCAAAGGCGCTAAGCGGCCTTCCGCGCCGCTGCCCGCGCTGCCAGCGTAATCCACCACGGCATACGTGGTCTCTGCGTCCTCTCGCGTATGACGTACTATCTCGCGTTCTCCCTCTCCTCGCAGCGCTGTGTCTCTCCGTCGTACTACGGCCGGCCTCCTAAGGGAAATTTAGTGTTTTCTATGGTGCTTTTTGCTTTTTCTCCTCACTAATGTTCCTCATTGCACCCCTTGCCTAATGTTTGAACAAAATAACGCATCAATTCAATCCCGACTCGTGCCTTTAAATATCAGTATCGGCAAATTTCTTTGGTTGTTACTCAAATAGACAATGAATTCACCATCAACCAGCCCCACTGAATTCACTGCAAAAGGGAGTAAGGCAAAGAAGACTACGTCGAGACTGACCTATTATACAATTCCGCTTAATTTGAAAAGATAAGAGCAATTTCTAAGACTTCTGCACGAGCAGGGGTTGAGGAGCGGGAGAGCTAGATGGTATGGAGAATTCTGCCATCATGCGCACGTAGGATTACCCCTTCCTTCGTCCGTGCCAAATAACCGTCCGACCCTACAGAGCCAGTTCATTAGTATTAGGCCGACTTGGAGGCTGTACGATTGGCTTGTACATCGAATCCAAGAAACTCGATGCAGGAGCCGAATCGCCTTCAAATGGGGTATGCCTTTGTGTGGAGCTCACGGTCAGCATCTGAGGAACAGCTTAACCACACATATATTTTATTATTTATCACTATTTTTCCGCTATGCGCGCTTTTGCTGACGTCACCTACTTTCCATCGCCCTATCTAAGAGCCGATTGCCATAAAATAACTTAAATACTTAGTGTTTTCATGCTCCAGTGAACACCACAGGAATGCCTCCAGGTTACCCTTTAAAAGGCTAGCAGATTTGCAACGTATGCGCTGTTACTGTTGAGAATGAGAGCTTTCCCTACCACCCAGACAGGGTTAGTTGACAACCGGTTTCTAAATAAATCGCCAGGAAGATGTTCAAGAAGAAGTTCCCAGT